AGAAATCACCACTCAAGAACTTATTCACGCAACCAAACACAACCTGTTCCCCCAGAATCCTATCGAAATAAAAAAATTGAAAAATTAAAGTCTTGGGAAACAAGAAAATATTAAAGTAAAATGCATAGAGTAAGAATTAGTGATGTTTGTTAAACATTTGATTTCATTTCACACATACACCCAAAAATACTGGACCACAGTGTAAAATGTATTTCTCATTGCAGGCCACAGACCAAAAAAAAAAAAAAAAAAGCTTGATAGAAAACTTCTAATATTCACATGCAAACGATTTAAATCTGTGATTTTGCATTTGTAGAAATTGAGTTTAAGGAAGGGGAAACCCAGCATGTGGTTGAAATCGAAGTTATCTTTGATGGGGTGAGAGAGATGAGAGAAGCCTTCACTGTTCACCTAAAACCTGATGAAAATATGATAGCAGAGACGCAGGTAAGTAATGTAATGTGTATGTAAATTCATGGCCAGCAGTTTGTCAGAGAAAATGCATAAAAGCAATCACATAGTGTACAATAAAATGAGGACACTTTGTACAAGCCTTACATGAAAGAGATATGCATAATCTTTTTTTACCACCTAAATATATTTTCTTCTGATTAGATCATAGTCAAGAAATTCCTATCTTTTTCTTTGAAAAATGTGTGTTGAAACTCAAGGACTGAAGTCACTGAGCCCCAAACCAGTGCACTTCCCTTCCGCATGTCAGTCAGTAACAATTGATTGACCTTGGGATTAACCATCAGAGAGAAAGTAGCATCTCAGAGTAAAGAGGGAACTATTAATTCAGTGCCACAACTCATAAAACATATTCAAACCCACAAAGCAATTTGCTAATCCTCCAAATCAAGATCTGTTTCCCCTGGCTTTATCAGAATTTGATGTCCACAGCCTCATGATCAAAATGTTTCAGTCCTAAATCTTGTTGTCTAAACTTACTTAATTTATATTGTCTCATTAACCAGATTTTCCTCAAAACGAACATAATTCCACAGAATGTTGACCTTGACATGGGAAATAATTTTTAAAACTACATGTCTTTTTGGAATGTATTAATTTTTTATATCTTTGCTTAAATTTACTGTATTACTTTTTTGTTTGTTTCACTTTAGTACGAGTGAAACATTTTTTCCATAAATATTTTTTTCAAAAAAAATTTTAACAATTTGGAAACCTTAACGCCTGAAGGGTTTTCCAACAAAAAGCCCTGCCTTTCAACAAAGTAATTAAAAATCAAAGAAGGGAAAACCTTAACAAAAATAGTTTTGTGTCTTCATCACATAAGATGAATCTTTTATTATTATTTTTATGTAGTAGCGTATGAAATGCTTTTGGGTGAAAAGAATATTCACTCAAGTTGCTTCCAGTGATGAAAGCTTCTTTTAAAAATATACATGTAAAGATAGTTTGGGAAACTATGCTATGTAGTCAGATATTGGACGGTTATTTGGGAACCAGGGCAAGTTCACAACAAGGTGTTCTTGTCACCTCGCCCAGCAGCGGGTGTTCATGGAGTCCTCCTCTGTCTGGAACTCAAATTCTCCCCTGCCTGGGTTTCAGGCGGTGCCTTCTGCCCTTGACTGCTTTAAAGAATTTCTTATTACTGGCATCTGCTTCATCCAGGCTCACACTATCCCGTGACCTCTCTGATCGTCCTTCCTTCAGAATGTCCTCCAGCTCTACTCCCACTGTCAAAGAATTGACTCCTTCATGAAATTTCCCTTCACAACCCCAAGACAGGTTTAGCTACTGTCATCACAACTGGAGACAAGAAAAATTAGAGCCCAAACACCTCGTGGGCCTCTGGCCAACCTTTGGATTGACTGCCCTGGGCTCAGCTGCCCACCCTGGAACCATAAGATGTGAACAAGGTGCCAAGGTCTTATGCATCAGGCCACTTAGGGCCAGTTGCTCTCCAGGGGCTCTGAGTATGACAATTTGCATCATAATGAGGCCATGGGTTTGCCAGGGATCGTGAGTATTGTCCTGTATGGTAGAAGCATCAAAAGTTTCATATTCCACTCATCAGTGATAATTATCTTTTCCTTCTAGGTGACCAAAGCCATTGTGTATATAGAAGAAATGAGCAGCATGGCAGATGTCACTTTTCCTTCTGTCCCTCAAATTGTGTCCCTGTTGATGTATGATGACACTTCCAAAGCTAAGGAGAGTGCTGGACCCGTGTCGGGCTATCCTGTCATCTGTATCACAGTGAGTAGGCGATTCACAAAATTGAGGAAAATTGTAAGATAATTACTTCAAATAATTATAAAGCGTAATCAATATAGCATCGGCTTTGTTATGAAGAAATGAAAGTAGAAAAATACTACATGGTGTAAGCCTTGAACTTTGCAGACGTAACACTAATCAAATAAAGCTCCCATTTTTCTTTCTTCACCCAGCAAAGTTTCATTAACTGATGTGTACATAGTGTGTTATCTCAGTCTGTCACCAATAGAAAAATAAATAAGATATGAGGTCTGCATTCAAGATATTTATAGATGAAGAAAAGAATATAGGAATTGGTAACTCTAATATAAGGCAAGATATAACCACTATCATGAAAATGATACAAATTGGAGGTCAGAGCTGCAGCTCCATATATGAGGGGAGATTTGGGATGGTCAGACGAAATTCTGATCATTTAGGATGCAAATCTGATAAGGGAAGGTCATTCTAGGAAGAAGGGATTGCAACATGAGCTACAGCTAGAAACAAATAGCATAAGAAATAGCAGATTATCACTACTTTTAAAATTTACCTTTTCTTGACTCCAAATTATAAGCTCCTTGTGAGCTAAAATTATGACTTACTTATTTTTATATCACAACAGCACTTCTATAATCACTTATATATAAAAGTACACAATGCATGTTAATTGAATCAACAAGGCAGAGATAAGTTGGTGTCAAAGTATAGGGAGTTTTCAATGTCATATTAACAAATTTGGACTTCATTTGTTGGGTAGCGAAGAGTTCTTACGCAGAAGAATGATGAGGGGGGTTAAGCTGGCAGGTTGACAGGGCAGTCGTGTGTCAGCGGAGTGGAAGAAAAGACCCTGAATTAGACAGAGAAGTGCTGCTGGGAATGGAAAGGAAGGCATCATCTTAAGCAATATTGCAAAAGAATAATCAGCCAAGTTCCTGACTCACTGGATAAGGGGGGTAAGATGAGAGACAGGAAGGGAGGGAGGAAAAAAGAGAGAATAAGGATAAAAGGCAAACCTGATGATTCAAGAGATTATGATATAAATAACAATTTTACACGTATTAAGTTAGAAATAGAAACATCCAATAAGCTGTTTGAAATGCAAGATTAGCATTTATAAACGCTATCATGGCTGGGAATCAAAATTCAGAAGTTGTATGAACAGCATGTGGAAACTGGGGAAATCCGCAGTGAAAACTCGATGACAGAGAACGGGAGAAGAATGCGTTCCACACTGTTCTACACTCTGTTCCTAACACAGTCATTTGTTTTCCATAGGCTTGCAACCCCAAATATTCAGACTACGATAAAACAGGCTCTATCTGTGCAAGTGAGAACATCAATGACACTTTGACCCGGTACCGGTGGCTGACTAGTGCACCTGCGGGCCCTGATGGTGTGACCAGCCCGATGAGAGAAGTGGACTTCGACACCTTTTTTACATCATCCAAGATGGTCACGCTGGACTCTATATACTTTCAGCCTGGCTCCCGGGTGCAGTGCGCAGCTCGTGCTGTGAACACCAACGGCGATGAAGGCCTGGAGCTCATGAGCCCTATTGTAACCATCAGCAGAGAAGAAGGTCAGTCATTACCATTTTCCCCTGAAGATCACTGGAATACTGTGGAATATTACAAATGTCTACTTTCTGGTTATTAAGACTTCCAAATGTCCCACATATTCCATGTATTTTGTATGTAGTTAAAAGTTAAAATCCATTTTTATAAAATTATGTATTACAAAACAAAATATTCATTCCACCTTTAAGTACCTATTATACGCCAGACACAATGCTTTGTGCTGGCAATAAAATAAAGAAGACAGGATCCCCGCTTTTGAGGATTTCTTGGTCCAGTTGAAGATGCAGACACATTTTAGTCTAGACAGGGCACAGGAATGCACAGGTAGAAGTGATTAGTTTTACCCTGAGTGGGTCAGGAAAGACTCATCAAAGAGGGGAGGCTCAAGCTGAATCTGGAAAGAGTAGAGGAAACCAAGCATGAGCAACAACTCGTAAAAACAAGAAAGAATGTGAGATATTCTGGGAATGGCAAGCAGAGAAATGGGGAAGCTTCTGAGAGGGAGAGAAGGAAAAACCAGGAGACAAGGCAAAATGGTGTACAAGGCTCAGATCCGAACAGAGCTCATGCCGTGCAGGGAGCTCAGCTGGTTGTTGGGTGAGTAGGATTTTGCTGGGGACGGGAGGGGAAGGGCAATCCAGGTAGAAGGGTATGTGCAAATGAACACCTTAGTATTACGAGAGAGACTGTATTTAAGACTGGAGCAAAGGCACATTGGGGATGGAGAATAGGATGTGGCTGCGGACGACATTGGAAAGACAGGAAATCCACTATATAAATAAATCCTTCACTGCAGAATATTTTTTTAATGAGATTTTTCTTAAAAACGGTTGCATATATATGATTCTATTTCTAAACCATCCATTTGCATACTGCATTCAAAAGTAAATTTGCCGCATAAAGAGAGGTCATATGTCCCATCTGCGACTACTGTATATTCAGGATCAAATATTTAAATAATGCCTTAAAATGATTCTCTCTTTTCATAAATCAGACAGCCCCTATGCTGGGGCCTGCCTCTGATTTCATTGCTATCCTAGTAAATATTTGTCTATTTTCTCTGTTTTATACTAATAGATAAGCAATTGTATCTTTCCAAGTTCTCTTCAAATAATAATTCAGCATCTTGGTCCCTTTCATGATGTTCAAATAAAACACCCACTGTTTTCTTAAAGGAAATGCTGGAGAAAGAGTTTCATGTCCAAATTCTTGAAGGTCACTGGGAGATATGAGAGAGAAAGAGAGATGAATATAAAATGGAGTATAATGTATAATACACGTACTGTAAAAAATTACATATATAGAGAAAACTCTACTGTTCACAGTTTGCTCTCTGATTTTTAAGGAGACTTTAGTTTTTGTTCCTAAAATGAGCAGTTTTAGTTTTGTTCACTTACAAGTAATGTAAACATAACTAACGATAAGTATATTATTCTACAGTAAAAATAAAATTTACTTGGTTTAACTACATTTACTTTTATCCTACTGACTTTCAATCATTTTTACTGTATCTGTTGATACCTTATATTTAAATGGTTTTGTGAATATGACCAGGACTTGGAATAACCAGCACACATTAAGTTACATTGAATAGTAACTATTTTTTCTCAAAGTTTGAACAATCCCTAAATTGTCAAGTGGCCACTAAACTGTCTGCTGTGATTACTTCTCACCCTGTGGCCTTCTAATTTCTTATGACGTGATGTAAACTCTTAGCCATGCCCTACTCCACAGAGAAGTTTAAAGTACATAGAAAAATAATAGCTCCTATTTTTAAAACATTCTTTAGGTATTATTGATTACCTTCTTTTCGCATAAATATGGTTTTTTTTTTCAAGGTCTTTGTCAGCCCCGTGTACCTGGGGTAGTTGGGGCAGAGCCGTTCTCAGCTAAATTGCGCTACACAGGCCCTGAGGACCCAGACTACACAAACCTTATCAAGCTCACTGTCACAATGCCACACATAGATGGTAGGTGACCTGGGTAAGCAAATCTGTGGAATTGTTTCGGACTCCTCTTTACCTGGTGCATTTTCCTTCATCTTCTAAATAACCAAGCTTCAACAAATGTTCAATTTGCAACTTGAGCTTCAAGTCCTTCTGCTTCTTTCAACTTTTTTAGCTTTGTTCTACACAGTTTTTATAACTATGGCAATGTAAGCATTCTTTAAAATTAGATAGATGTAATACATATCCAGACATGATAAAACAAAACTGGTAAGTAGTCTAGCTTTTATGAAAGAGTACAAATGCATCTTCAATTGTAAACTTGAAGTTACAGTAAAGTATTTGATATCTTAGTGCCTACCTTCAACATGTGTTGCAATTTTATAGCTGGAGTTTTATGTCTCTCTCAATATTTATCACGTAACTAAGACATTTCCTAGATATGTAAATACAATTAAAAAATGAAACTAACAGGTATTATATATTGTGTTTATTTTCTCTGGCTAGGGAGCTGTGACCAGAATGTGTGTATCAATAACTTTATCATACTTCATGAATATTTTACCATGTGCAGAAGGCATTTTCATGTTATTTTCCACTCAATTCACTTTACACTTGTAGCAAATTGTTCATATTAATTTTATTACTTGGTATGTTAGTTATATTTTATGTAGCTAAGGGAGAGGAAATATGATTAGGAGCCGCAAGGTAGAATCTATTCCCCCAGAACAAGAACATCTGCTATGTCTGCCTATCACAACCTGAGATTTTTCTGGGGATTGGAAGGGCAGGTGGTCAGGAATCTGCATTCCTTCCTTTACAGCATAATGTTGGTCCCTGAACCACCCAATCTCTAGGTCCATGTGGAGGTGTGACTTGAGCTGCAAAGGGCTGAGTAGGGACCCATCAGGGAAACACAGACCAGTAAGAGTTATTTCCTAAAAGAAAGAGTGGTCTCTTCTGCCACTCCTAGGACTTGGCTTTGCATTTTCTGAATGCAGTGTTCAATGTTCAGTAGCCACAGCTCTGCCAGAAGTGTGTTCTGTTGAGGCTGACCGCTTCTTCTGTGGGGCCGGAGTTTTGCTCCGAGTGAATCTGAGAGGAACAGGTGGGAAAGGCTCAAAGAGAAGAACTGGTTCATAGTCTTTTGCTGTATTGCTCATTCCAGGGCTCAGCACACTATGGCCTGTGGCCAAATACAGTCTGCTCTCTGTTTTCACATGGTCTGCAAGCTAGGAATATATTTTATATTTTTAAATGTTTGGGGGAAAAAAGGAAAAACAAGAAGTCTACTTTTGAAACATAAAGATGTTATGAAATTCAAATCCATGGCCCGTAATAAAGTTTTATTGCACACAGTTAGGTTTATTCCTTCACATAGTAGTGGCTTTCACTCTGATGGCAGCACTGAACAGTCAACAGAGACCTCAGGGACCACAATGCTAAAATATTTACTATTTGACCCTTTACAGAACAAATTTTCAGTCTTTAGCCTGTACTTATATAATGGTGGTAGTTTTCAACCTTTTTTTTTTTTTTTTTTTTTGAGACAGAGTCTCACTCTGTTACCCAGGCTAGAGTGCAGTAGCATGACCTCAGCTCACTGCAGCCTCCACCTCTTGGGTTCAAGCGATTCTCGTGCCTCAGTCTCCTGAGTAGCTGGAATTACAGGCGTGCATCACCATGCCTGGCTAATTTTTGTATTTTGAGTAGAGATGGGGTTTCGTCATGTTGGTCAGGCTGGTCTCGAACTCCTGACCTCAAGTGATCCGCCCGCCTTGGCCTGCCAAAGTGCTGGGATTACAGACGTGAGCCCCCATGCATGGCCAGTTTTCAACTTTTATGATCCAGGACATCTTAGAAATTATTGAAGATCTCAAAGAGATTTTGTTTATGTGGGTGATATCTATAAATATTTATTGGATTTTAAATTAAAACTGAGGAATTGTTAAATATTTATTCACTTATTTAAAAATAACAAAAAGAAATACATTACATATTAACATGAAATACATCCTTTAAAAAAACTGTGTTATAAAAAAAATAAGGAGTGGTACTTTTATATTCTTGAAGGTATCATTAATGTCTGACTTAATAGAAGATAACTGGATTCTCTGCCTCTGCATTCAATCTGTTGCAATTTATCGTATCTTGTAGTCTCCGAAAAACCGCACTTGTGAGAGAATATGAGTGGCAAAGTCGCATAATAACTTAGTATCATTATGAAAATAGCTTTTAAGTCGTGGATCTCTTGAAATTTTTCCGGGGGAACCCCAGGGTTCTTAGTATACCACTTTTTTTATTTTTTTGTTTTTTGTGGGGTTTTTTTTGAGATGGAGTTTCACTCTTGCTGTCCAGGCTGGAGTTCAGTGGTACGATCTCAGCTCACTGCAACCTCTGCCTTCCAGGTTCAAGCAATTCTCCTGCCTCGGCCTCCCAAGTAGCTGGGATTACAGGCACCCGCCACCACACCCAGCTATTGTAATTTTGGTAGAGACAGGGTTTCATCATGTTGGCCAGGCTGGTCTTGAACTCCTGACCTCAGGTGATCCATCTACCTCGACCTCCCAAAGTGCTGGGATTACAGGCGTGAGCCACATCGCTGGGCCTAGACACCACTTTGGTCATCACTGCTGGATGGTATTTTATGACAGTTGTTTTCTCAAGAGATAAAGAAGTTTTAAAGTGTTCAAAATTCTTGGCTACCTGAAAGAATGTTAACAGTGATTTCGATTTACCATAGGCATGCTCCCTGTGATCTCCACTAGAGAGCTTTCCAACTTTGAGCTCACCCTCAGCCCTGACGGCACAAGAGTTGGAAACCACAAGTGCTCCAACCTCCTGGATTATACTGAAGTGAAGACTCATTATGGTTTCTTGACTGATGCTACCAAAAATCCGGAAATAATTGGAGAGACATATCCTTACCAGTACAGCTTGTCTATCAGAGGTTCCAATACCTTACGCTTCTACCGGAACCTGAACCTAGAGGCCTGTTTATGGGAGTTCGTTAGCTACTATGACATGTCAGAACTCCTTGCTGACTGTGGTGGCACCATTGGAACGGATGGACAGGTACAGATTTATAACACTTGAGTTTGGTCACTGGACAAACCAATTGGTTTGTTTTGTCACATAGATTTGTACTAAGTCCCAACTCCAGTTTTCCATCTTGGTGGTGTAGGTCATTACTGACAACAGGGGACCGCCAACTGACATGGTGTCAAAATCCATGTCTATTTCTGAACAATGGACCAGAATATATGTCGTTTTGGACAATGGGTTAGAGATATTATATCTATGTCAAAAGGATGCTGTATAATTATTGCCTTAAGCTCAAAATCTACTCTGATATTATAAAAATCCAAATACTGACTTCTCTTCAACGTATACACTATCTGTTTTTTGTGTTTATGTGTAGATGCCTGTGATGTTGTATCATGAGCCACCTAAAGTGAGGTTTTGCAATCCTGGGAGTCAGTCTAATTTTTCTCCCTCTTTTCTAACTTTCTTCTTCTCTTACTTTTATAAAATTTTCTCTTCTTCTAGCCTCCTTTTTCACTCTCCTTTCTTTTCTTTCTGTTTTTCTCCTCTTTCTTGCTTTTTGATTCATTTATCTATTATTAACATAGTCGAAAGTGTTTTTATTAAAAGCTTATTTTTATTTTCACTCTACAGTTACTGATTCTTCTTCATACTACACAGACATTCACACAAAAAATACTCATACACACACACAATCCTCACCCCTACCCCATCATCAGCAACAAAGTCGTTAAAATGATAAGGAAGCAAGATCTTCTTCAGGGTTACAATAGAGAACCTAAAATATGTAGGGCATGATTTAAAATTGTTATGAGTATTTGAACTAAAAGCAATGCTATAACTTACCTGAACTAAACAAGGAGTTACATAAGTAGGTTTATGCACTGAAGTGTTGAATGGTATACAGACTATATAATGCCCTTCCAGATTGAGCTAAAGTGAGGCTGCATTTTTTGTGCTATATTTATAAGGTGTTGAAATATATAACAACCAGTAGCAAGGAAAAACTAGATAACTAGTATGAGGTAATCCCAGAGTAAAGCTGTGGACTTCGACAAGCTCAGCTGGTGTTGATGTTGAATTGAACTCAGAGGTGGTGAGACATGACCATGGTCAGCTTGTCAAAAAGTAGCAATATTTAGTAACTTGCAGGGATTGCTAAAAATGCCAATAGAAATAGCAATAGAGAGGCAGTATAAGATGGTGGAATCTGGATATTAGAATCAAGCAAATGCTGACCAAAATTTGGCTCTGATATTTTCTAGCTGTATGTCTTTGAGCAAGTTACTTAAACACTTATAAGTGTTTATCCTGTAGATTCCTCTTTCCTAACCTGTTTTTGCCACCTGAAAGAAACATGGAAAAATAAAGATTCAATCCACATAAGAAAAATAAAGGCTCATGGTAACAAATCTACCTTAGCCTTTTTCTTTATAGATCAAGTATCTCTAGTTCCTTCAGGTCTTCCTTTCAAAGCTGCTTCCAATCCTTTACTAAATTATTTCTATTTCCTTTCTGGTTGTTTTTCTCTCAGATTCTTGCTTACATCACAGCATCTATTGGCATAAACAAAATTGGATATAGAAATAGGATTACATTATAGTTCTCATTCCTTTTAAAATCACTTCATACACCAGGCGCGGTGGCTCACGCGTGTAATCACAGCACTTTGGGAGGCTGAGGCCGGCGGATCACCTGAGGTCGGGTGTTCGAGAGCAGCCTGACCAACATGGAGAAACCCCGTCTCTACTAAAAAAAAATACAAAAATTAGCCAGGTGTGGTGGCAGGCGCCTGTAACCCCAGCTACTCAGGAGGCTGAGGCAGGAGAATCATTTGAACCCGAGAGGTGGAGGTTGCAGTGAGCCGAGATTGCACCACTGCATTCTAGCCTAGGCGACAGAGCGAGACTCCGTCAACAAAAAAAAAGAAAAAAAAAACAACAGCCGGGCGTGGTGGCACATGCCTGTAATCCCAGCTACTCAGAAGGCTGAGGAAGGAGAATACCTTGAACCGGGAGGCAGAGGTTGTGGTGAGTCAAGATCGCGCTATTGCACTCCAGCCTGGGCAACAAGAGTGAAACTTCATCTCAAAAAATTTAAAAAAAAATTTTTTTTAAAAATCACTTCATGCTATTGAGCTTCTCTGTGGATCTCATCTAGTTCATAGTCTGTTTTTACCCTTAACAATGTTTTCTATCTTCTCCACAAAGTGGCAGCACTTCTCCATCTTTTGTACATGTTACCCAGGTAGCCTTTCCTATCAATAACAAAAACCCTGCACTTGCCTGCCTAAGCTTTATCCTATGGTATCTGTCCACTTTTTTAATGTAGCAAGGCTGTTTTATTTTGAATGCAAAGCATGCCCTCTACTGTGTTCATTCTTCAAATCAAATCTTACTATAAAATTTAGATTAGCTAAAGTGACTATACTTTGCTAAGTTTTTAAAATTCCAGTTCCTGTATCAAATTATTTGTGTTAGTATTTTTTTTCTTCCTGTGACTTCTGCCAGCTAGAAAAGTCATTACTCTGCTTCTCTATTGGAGCTGACAACGATTCTACTCCATTAGGTGAAAATCAGCAATTGTAGGTTTTCAGTTAAGTTTTGCCTGTTAGAAAAGCTTACGTTCCATAATATTAGGAGAGAGTACAATATAAGAATTACAACATAATTCAGTGCTTAATAGTTTGCGCTACTTTCTTAAGGAAGATGGCTAACTTGTATGAGTTCCTTCTGAAAGACTTCTGCTGCTTTTGCATTGTTAAATATAAATTTAATAGCATAACCGTGATGATCAATATCAGAGTGATGAACAGATTCACAGTAAGTCATTGCGATTTTAGGATCTTGTTATAAAATTCTAAAATCCTTATTGTAAATTAAATGGTAATACAATTTAATAAAACATGTTGCTTACTCTCTTGGAGTGAAGCTTGAGATATTGTGTTAGTCAGGGTTCTCCCCAGAGACAGAATAGGTAGATGAGAAGGGGTCCCTTGTGAGAATTAGCTCTAGAGATCGTAGAGACTGAACAGTTCCATGGCAGGCCATCTGCAAGATGGAGAACCAGGGAAGCCAGTGGCGTGGCCCACTCCAAGATGCCAAAGGCCTAAGAACCCAGGTAAAGTCCCCAAGTCTAAACACCAGAGAACTTGGAGTTCTGATATGCAAGAGAAGGAAAAAAAGAGTGTCCCAGCTCCAGGAGAGAGAGAGAATTCACAGCAATACTTTGAGATAAGTACTGTTTTTGTCCTTTTCTTTTCCTTTTTTGTCTGTCTAGGCCTCAGCCAATTTGGTGGTGCCCACCCACACTGTGTGAGGATGGGTCTTCCTTATTCAGTCCACAGATTCAAATGCCAATCTTTTCTGGAAACACTCTCTTGGAGACACCCAGAAATAATGCTTTACCCACTCTCTGAGTATCCCTTAATCTGGTAAAGCTGAAACCAAAAATTAACCATCACAGATGGCCATCCCATTTTCTTCTACCTTCTTCCTTGAGGTTAAGCTTCTACTTTTCCCCTTGTTGTTGATATTCTCCTACACCCTCACCTCAACATACACACATATATGATTTACACATAGGTGAGGGAGAAGGAAATAAAAATTAAAGTAGAAGAAATTCAACCCTCTGAGATATTGCCCTAATTTTCCTCCATTAGCTTTGGCTTATAATGAGGAGAACAAAATATCTAATAATAGTACTAACAATAACAGCAACGACAATGATAATTGTAATAGCTTACATTTATTTATCGTTTACTGCGTGCCTGCCATTCTTCTAAATACTTTGTATATTTCAACTCATTCTAGCCTCAGAACAACCCTTTGAGATAAGTACTATTTTTGCCTTTTTTCTTTGTTTTGTTGTTGTTGTTGTTGTTTGTTTACAGATTAGGAAGCTGAAGCAAAGAGAATTCAAATAACCAGCCCAGGTTCATGTAGCTTATAAACTTACGCTGTTAAACACATCATAATGCTTATCTGGGCATTAAATTGAATGTGAGTGAATGTGAGGAATGGATATGGTCACAGATTCAATTGCAAGAAACCCAGATGAACTTTTTCCTTTGTTCTTGGTACAAATATGCCGCCTGACAGCGTTCATGAAAATACACGCCAGATTACATCCACACCCACTGTTTGTAAAACGGTGCAAATCCATGTCCTAACAACAGTGGTCTACAGCTTCATCTAAATACAGGCAGATCAGTGCTGACTGCAAGCATATTTCATGAGATGGCACCTGAAGGAAAGCAAAGTAAATGCTTGGTAAATTCTACTTTACACTCTGTTTTAGAATGTCATGAGGGCCTTCCAAACTTTTGCATTTCAGCGTTAAGGGTGGAAAAATGGAGAAAAATAAAAAGCAAACCATCAGCACAGACTCCATGTGCTTCAGAGAGGCTTCATGGTTTTATTGACCACCTCAGTAAACAGCCCCCACAGCAAGCTGGTGCTGACCCAGGTCTGTTTGTCCTCAACAATCGCACAGAGCCCAGGCCAAGCGCCTAGCAGACATTGCTTGCCCGCCTCTAGTCCTTCCCAAATTTGGCATCTTAGCTCAAGGTAATCACTGCGCAAACACATTTTATCAACTGATAATTGCTTTTGCTAGGAACAACATGATAGATAATTGATTTTTTAAATGTGTTCTCAGTAGCTAAAGCTACTACCATAAAATGTTGTCAAGTTCCTGCATTTTTCTTTGTAAATGAAAATCTAACACACTCTGTAAGGGTTTTCTGCCTTCTCCAACCTCCCAATTCAGATTATTTACCTTATTGGTTAACAGGATAGTTATCTGTTAACAGCAATGAAGTGTGATTAACTTTTATGCAGCTACACTACATCTAGCTTCAGCTGTTATTAAAACTATATCTGATTTTGCCATCTCATTTATTTGTATGTTCATTCATTAAAGAAATATTCAGTGAACACCTACTCTGTGCCAGGGAATATACCAAGTACTCATGAGGACACCGGACAAGAAGCTTACAGAGCAACAAAGTAGTGAGATCATCACTCATAAAAGTGAAGAATTTCACTTGCCAAGAAAAACAAATTTGGAATTTCTCTAATGATAGTTGACTCTAAAATCATTTTATTAGTTTCTAAAATATAAACACAGATAAATAGCAAGAAAAGCAAAATAGAGATGAATTCAATAAATGATTTCACTCTACCTTTATATGTGACACATATTTTGTAAACAAAATTTAAAGTTGTTTGTTTACACAATAAAAAACACTTTAGAGGCAAAATGGTTATTAAAGGTAAATTAAGTTCTTAGAACTATCGAATAGTTTGGTAGCTTTTCTCTTGAAACCAATTTTTTAAAATAATTGAAAACTGCAGATCATTTGACCTTTTATTGTCCTGGCTCGCTGTTTTGCAACGTAGAATCTTAACTCTCCCATTTGTAAAGTAAACAGTGACTGATAACATTGTTCAATGTGCATGAATAAACTACAGAAACGCAACCCCAATCATAGTTTTCACTTAAAACATGAAATTATAATGTACTTATGAGAAGACATAGCATAATTTTGGAAAAGTAAACACATTTTTTTTTCTTAGTTGCTTTGAGGAATAATTATGCCTCTTTTTTACTGTGTATTTGATTTAGGAATATGAAACTTTGAGGCTGGAATATACTTAAGAGGTCATTTTTCCATCCCACTGTTTTATACATGTACACTGATTTTCTTTTACATGTAAGCCACTCTAAATTGTTTTGCAAGATATATACTTACCCTAGTGTGTAGTAGAATAAATTTGACAGTGTGTTACTTTTTCCGTGATATTTGCATTTTACACTTTCCTTTTAAATATGGAATTTAAAGTATTGCTTGCTTTTGATGAGGAAACTTCAAACAGCAATAAGGACATATGAAATCACTCATTGTGTCTCAGTTTCATTAAGATTTGACAGATATTTCTTTCAGTATAAACAAATACCTTGAAAAGTCCTGTGATATAGTCTGAAAGAAAAATTAAGTGCTTTTTAAGTTGACATCTAAAAGTTAGAATGATTGCCTTGCACGCTTCACTTTTAAAGAAGGTAGGTGATCTAGATGGTCAAGGTAGCTTCATTTAGGCTCCAGTTCCTCTAGGTAGAGATTCTAAGTAGACAGAAAGAAGACCTAGCCTTGGGTACGAAGAAAATGCAATGGAAGGCTGATTCTGTGTCCAAAAATGATCAAACTCTAGTTTACCACAACACCAAATAAAATCAAACAAGAATTAGTTGGGGAGCTGTACTCCAAGTAACTTATTCATAGGAAGTGAATATTACTAATTCCTTCCAAAATAGCATACTCAGTAACATTTGATGGATAGAATATAATATTGGAAAAGATTCTTCTTAGCACCTATAAAGTTTAATTGGGAATCTATGCCTAAAGCCTAATTATTTTTTAAAATCATGGTTTATTAAAATTGCAAGGTAAAATATTAATCTTAAGGACTAGTGGCATATGGATTGACTTAATCACTGTCCATTTCACTGCACTTCAAAATCAATGGCTCAATGAAGTAATAACAGCCGCCCATAGAAACTACTGTCTCAGAGGACTTTTAATGCAAAGCACCTCTCCTGCTGGCCAGGCTAGCAGGTAGTAGGGAATGCTAGCTACTACACTATACAGTTAAAAATAAAATCACTTGTTTGGTTGATGGTTCTTTTCTATGTATTTTTATTAGGGATTCAGGTCATCATTTTTGTGACATGAGCAGTTTACTTTTAACTTCATAAGAATGTTCTAAATTACAGTTCTCATGGTTTACATTATTTGCTAACTTACGCCTGTGATTCTTGTTGTGAGCTCAGTGTGGAAGAACTAGACCGTTATCAGACAGCCTGACTGAAACTTCTATGGAGTGTGAGCTGACCTAAGTCCTTTCCTCTTGTGTAGAAGAGGCTGGTTGTATTTGTCCTACTATTGTGCAGAGCTATTTTGAGAATTAAATATGATAACCTTTGTTAGATGACCTTAGGGCTGCCTTCATCTTTGTTAGGAATACGATGAAGTATGACAGAATAGGAAAAAACATGGGCCAGAAGCTGAGTTCTGATCTTGTCCGAGCCATTCAGGAGGCTTCGAGAATACTGTGGGATGTTTGCCTTTTTCCTTTGAGTCTTAATTTTATCTTCTTCTCTTTCTGTCTGTCATCCACTGACCATCCAACTATCCATCCATACATGTAAATATAATTATGGTGAAGAGTGAAAATATTAAATAGTGTTTATTGAGAAACTAGTACAGTTTCTGAAATATGGTAAGTACTCAATAAATAAATATTAGTTTATCCTCCACTATTCCTAACCCATCTACTAAATACCAGAAACAGGAAAACATAAAATTCAAGGCAAGACACTTCATTTCAACTAATTACTCTTGAGATATTATAAATGTTATACATCATTAGTAAATATATTTGCTTCCAGATCTATGTTTCATAGTCCCTTAATAAAAAAGTAGCTCATAGCAGCATTTTTTATAATAGCCAAAAACTGGAAACAACCCAAATGGCCATGAAGTGATAAATAGATAAATGAAATGTAATACGTGCATGCAATGGGATGCAATTCAGTAACAGGGGAATGAAGTATTGAAACGTACTCCAACATGGATGCACCTTGAAAACATTATGCTAAATGAAAGAAATCTATCACAAAAGACCACATTTTGTATGATTCCATTTATCTGAAATGTCCAGGATAGACAAATACATAAAGACCTAGTGGTTGCCAGGGACTGGCGGGGAGGAGGGATTAGGAGGTGACTGCCAATAAGTACAGGCTTCCTTTTGGAGGCGATGAAAATCTCCTAAAATTGATTGTGTTGGTTGCACAACTCCTTGAATATACTAAGAACCATTGAATTGTTTACTTTAAATAGGTGAATTATATGGTATGTAAACTATCTTCATAAAACTGCTCTAAAGTGAAGAGGATTTTGTAAGTATAATATGCTCAAAATAATGCACTGTCTTGAGGATTTCTGGTACATATCCTTTGTTGCCAATGAAGGTAGTTAGTAACAACTATTTAATCGATCCAAAATTAAGTGAGGGGAAACCCGTGTTATAAAATGCTGTCATTTCCTCTTCTCAGTGATTACTCAAAATCTTCAGTTAAGCGAAAGGAGAAAATGGCTTGTACAAAATTAGGCTCATTTAGTTAACACTGAGTTGTGTTGATAGATATAATTTTATTGTTTTAGGTCCTAAACCTAGTGCAGTCCTATGTGACCCTTCGAGTCCCTCTGTATGTTTCCTACGTGTTCCATTCCCCCGTGGGGGTAGGAGGCTGGCAGCATTTTGACTTGAAGTCAGAGCTTCGTCTAACTTTTGTGTACGACACTGCCATCTTGTGGAATGATGGAATTGGCAGCCCCCCAGAGGCTGAACTTCAAGGTGAGTTCCGAAAACTTGGAACACTCTATAGTTTTGTAACCTATTTAAATTATTTAAGAGGTTTTTTTTTGCCATTGCTAAAAGTAGTACAAACAACTTTCAATAGATTTTCTTTTTCTATTCTATAATAAGATAATTTCACCTTTTTCATCAAAAAAACTTTAAATCATATTAGGGCTTTAAATTGTGTGTAATATGGAATTATTAAATATAACTTTATATATTTCATGCATATTTTGTCCTTGCGATCTATTTTAGGTGATTAATTATTTATGTGTTACATAACGCAACATATATATTTTTCTGGATTCTAGAAAATGGATAGAGGAAGCTCCGACAAAAACAAGAAATGACCAAGGGAAAAAGTTACACATTTTTATTTCAGAAAAAAAAAGGTGCATTTAAATTAAATACAAATTGTGGCCTGGATTCTAGTCATGACTCCACAACTAACTAGCTGTGAGATCTCAAGCATATTGCTTAATCTTTCTGGGACTTAATTTTTTCTGAATGATAGACAAAACTTCTAATACCTCCTTCTGATTTAAAATTTGGTTACTCTGGGATACTTTAGCCGAACATCTGCAAACTCTGTGAATGCCACTAGCTCGAGTTTGCAAGCATTTGCAAAACTTGGTTTCAATCTCCATGTTGGGCTCATAGTTCAAAGTCCACAAGCATCAATCTAATAAATCCATTAGTAGGATGCATGCTTTTTGTTTTTCAGACATATATTACTGTTCTGATTCCACAAACCTCCACAGTGTCATGCCAGTACTACATTTTATCAGCCAGCAGGAAAACAGAGTTAATCGTACACCTCAAATGTAAATCTACTCTCTTAAGCGGATTAAAACCTATTTATGCTCTGTTCATTTTGTTGTTGTCTTTTTTTCTCCCTGTTTCATTTTGAATAGTTTCTGTTTTAGAGCTATGTGACAGGTAATATGATCACCCTGAGTTATGATTCCAAATTATTTCAAATGTTTTAAGTCCATGTCTTGTTTTAGAAGATGTATATTTAAGTTAATCTTAATGAGGATTTTTCTGTGGTTCCCAACCTCCACATAGGATCTCTTGTTTGCTTCTGATTTCTGGAGCCAAATTTTATCAAACTGCTAAGTTTCTTGGGAAAGCTTCAGAGCTTTCTTTAAGTCTATAAAATTAGGAATAATTCTGGATAACTCAAACCTATTTCTATTTACATGTCCGAATCTCCATCATTTTGACAATTTTGTAATGCCTCTCAATTTACAGCTTCATTTTTGTAAATTCAGATTAAAAAAAACTTGATCTATTTTAATTAATCTGTGTATTTCATAGTGACTTCACTCACGTTACTTAACAATTCATTTTGGCTCCCTTTTCTGCTTAGAAAAGAAAATGAAGATACTTCTGCCTCCATTATTCAGAATTCTTCTGATAATACGCTTTGCCCAGAATGCTTAAAGACAAGTCAAACGTGAATTACTTTTTGGAAGGAATCTGTATATAAGAGGTCTCTGGCTACATATATTGTCATTCTTGGTACTCTCTCCATTATAGGCTCTCTCTATCCAACCAGCATGCGCATCGGTGATGAGGGGCGCTTGGCTGTGCACTTCAAGACAGAGGCTCAGTTCCATGGCTTATTTGTGCTGTCACATCCCGGTAAGCCCCGTTATCTTTTAACAACCACTCATCACGCAAAAATGAGGTAGACTTTCCATCTTCACACATTTCAGCGTGCTTCCCTGTTACCACTGAAGCCCTTCATCTCAAATGAATTGTACATGTTCGATTGTCCCCATGAGGGCTTGATAATTGTTCAGCTTCATCTCATAATCCACAAAATTATCATTATGCAGACTCTCAGAGAAAATGCAAAATAATAAGAGTAAAATTAAAAGGAAACCCTATTGAGTTCATTTTAAGTAAAGTTTTCCTTAAAGAGCATACGAATAATGATTTCTTTCTCTGCTTTGCTTCCATTGTGCAAATTGAATTGCAGATGATTCATTCAGCAGGCAGTTCTCTTTTCACAGCTTTTTCCTAGGTACTGTGAGAAACCCTTTTAATAGGGTCAGAAGAGGTACTTCACTTTCATATTTACGTTTTGGACATGTTAATTATGTTTAATAAGTATTGGCTATGCAATTTTACTAACTGTGATGCACCGTGCTTTGAATATCAATAAGGCAGATAAAGCAGCAGTCGGTAAAATGCCACGTCTAACTTCATTTTTTTTTTTTTTTTTAATAAGGGACATTTCACTAGAAAGAGCTTATTTTTTATTTGACTGTCTCCATGTTAGTAATATGGAGAGTCAAATAAAAAATAAGCTGTTTTTCTGCCAGCTTATGTTAGATTGGGAAAGGGAAACTAGTTCACTTAACATCTTTATATCCTTTCTTTTTCTGGGCTTGAACTCTAACAAAAGAGAATAGAGCTAAAAACTTAGGAAGAGAAAGAGGCTTCTTTGTATTTTTATGGAACTGAGCTACAAGAAAGAAATAATCCAAAAAAATCATTTTGCTTTATTGTATTTGACAGTTCTGGAAAATGAGGATTTTCTGGTCTATACAGTTTTCTTCTACGTGCCTACCTTTCTAATAAACTGGATCTTTGTGTAGCCGTGATGGCAGGCAATCTAACTAAAATTAGACTCCATTCATAAATTGGGTTTGCCCAGCTGTGTGGATACTAACAGACTATTTTAAGTTCAGCTCATAGCTTCGGTGCACAATAAATGCTTTCACATCACCCTTTATTGTGCTGCTCTGACTCCCCAGAAAGTAGCTGTGAACAATCTGAGCGTTTCTGTGCAATTATCTTTTGACAGAACCATAGAACAGAAACAGCACTGAAGTGGGAACCAGAAAGTCCCATCCTAGCTGTGTGATCTTTGGAAAGTCACATAGTCACTCACAGCCCAGTTTCTTCATCTGCCAGAGGAGGATAATTATACCAACCACGACTGCTTTGCAGCCTTCTTATAAGAACAGAAGCAAATAATGTATGATAGTGTATTTTGAAAACTCTAAACTGTTATGCTCTCTTCATTGAACCACTATGTCATTATTTTCATTACTGACACTTTCCTAGCATCCTTTACAAACTCAGTGATCATGTCAGCTGATCATCCAGGCCTGACATTTTCCCTCCACCTCATAAGGAGTGAACCAACGTATAACCAGCCAGTACAGCAGTGGAGCTTTGTCTCTGACTTTGCCGTAAGTGACTAAGACTCTTCATTGATTTTCTTCTGCTGCAGCTGTCTGATTACACCTCGGATTTTTAAATATAATATATCAATGTCTTCTCCTCAAAGGTACGTGACTACTCAGGCACCTATACTGTGAAGCTGGTGCCATGCACCGCCCCATCACATCAGGAATACCGCCTGCCAGTCACCTGCAACCCCAGAGAGCCTGTCACCTTTGACCTTGACATCCGATTCCAACAGGTGTGGCTTATAGAATTATCATCTCATGACTTGCAGAATCCCACTTTGTTTTTCATTTAATAGTTAAAAAAAGAAGTATCCACACATGAATAACTTTAATTCTTCCATGCTGAAAAGAAAAGAAATCAGACAGTTAAGGAAGCAAGGGATAAAAGAATGAGGAAAGATTTGCTCTTTATCTGTTGTTAGCACAGGATGTAAAATTCAGAGTTTAAATGTATGCAATGGTTACTTTTTTTCTTATCTGATCTTATCTTGTCTCTTCCTGAAGTTTGCTGTCTTGGAGATTTGAGAATTTTCCCCACACTTCTGCCTTTCTTTTCTTGTTCTTTTCTAAAGAGAATGAAATCCTGTAGCTCAAACCACCTCAAAGTACCTCATTGCCATTATGTACTATAAGAAATGTGATGGCATCTTCTTTTCAAGAATTTATACTATTGATCTTCTACTGACAATGATATTTACAAGTCCTTTATATACCCAATAAACCGGAAATGAGCTCAAGCAATGCTATTTAGTCCCATTCAAAAAATGACTTGACCCCACCAGTTTCACCGTCTCAAGGACAAAAGCAATGTTACAGCTCTTTAAGGTGGCTTGTGAATATTGCAGTGCAGTGCTTCGTGTTCTACAGTCAGTGTACAGTGAATATGTGTAATCTGTGAACAGTATGTTAGCGCACCATCAGAACCACCCATGCACGAAAGGACTTTTGCCTTTGGTTTTAGGTCAGTGATCCAGTGGCTGCTGAGTTTAGCTTGAACACCCAAATGTACCTGCTCTCTAAGAAGAGTCTCTGGTTGTCTGATGGATCCATGGGATTCGGGCAAGAGAGTGATATTGCTTTTGCAGAAGGTATCACTTTACAAATGAAAGGGATACTCTATTTGTCATGTATATCTTTTGGACTTTGCTTTTTGGGGATTGTGTTTGAGGGGGGAAATTATAGCTTCTTTCATGGTTTTGAGAATGTAACTGAGTCTTTACTCATGCTAGCTGGTGTGGGAAGTCATTGCAATTGGGTATATGTTACTGGGTATCTTTTTATTCTGAGGAAGCTAATCTCTAGCTGTCTTACCTAAGTGACTTTTGGCACAAGTCTAGATGATTTTCTTGAATTTTTTTTCAACCTGCATAAACTTAAATGCTGCAGCTACAGGAGATTGTAAATGCCTCTTAAGTGAAGATTGTGCCTGCCTTGCTCAACGGTGTATATTCAGCACCTAGCACACATACCTAGCAAAAACACCTGGCTTGCCTGGTAGGGGTTCAATAATAGTTATGAAATAAATAACTGAACACCAGGGGGTTTCATTAAACTCTCTTTCAGAAACAAATAAAGTTAATTAGACTTTTTATTGATACTTTCTTTCTTAGTGTTATTCCATATTGTATCAGTATATATCTTATCAACTTATTTTTGTAAACTGGGCTTGAACCACAGTGGGGTATTATTAATGTCAAATTATAGGCCAGACCTTTGAAATTATTCCCACTCGTGGCTGAGCATCTGAGACTCAACAAATCTTTAGTCACTTGTGGTTAGTCTGCAAAGTGGTCTTACCTGAGGCCTGGGAATGCACCAGATCTTGAAGCTCATACAAACGGGCCTTCAACATTTGATAGTAGATGAGAGTGGCAAGTAAATAATCTCTGTGTCCTCATTGTCATAACCTGTTTACAGTGTCACATTGATACACCTTACCACATAACAGAAATAACATTTCCACATCTCTAATTCAGGTGATATAATTTACGGACGTGTCATGGTGGATCCTGTCCAGAACCTGGGTGACTCCTTTTACTGCAGCATTGAGAAGGTGTTTCTGTGCACTGGAGCTGATGGCTATGTTCCCAAGTATAGTCCAACTAATGCAGAATATGGCTGCTTAGCCGACTCTCCTTCACTCTTATATAGATTTAAAATTGTGGTAAGTGCTTTGACCCAAACAATGAGCTAGACAGATTTTTCAAAGTTCAGCCTCCTTGTCTTATATTTAAAAACCAGGCTGGGCACAGCAGCCATACTACAGTCTCAGCACTTTGGGAGGCCAAGATGGAAGGATCACTTGAAGCCAGGATTTCAAGACCAGCCTGGACAACATAGTGAGACCCCATCTCTACAAAAAATGTTTTTAAAAGCCGGGCATCGTGGCATATGCCTGGAGTCCCAGTTACTTGGGAGGCTGAGGTGGGAAGCTTGCTTAAGTCAGGAAGTTCAATCTATGATCATGCTACTGCACTCTGACCTGGGTGAAAGAGAAGGTTCCCATCTCTTAAAAAAAAAAAAAAAATAGAAAAACAAACAAAATGATCATTTTTTGTAAACCAAATGGTGACATTTTATAGTAATTTGTACTTGCACAAAACAAATAGGGAAACATGCTGTCCTGGCAAAAGCTGGCATTATCTACAGCAATCACCACTTTCCTTACTGCTTAAAGGACAAAGCTCAGCCAGAGACACAAGCGACCAGTTTTGGAAATGTCCTATTTAATGCCAGACTAGCAGTGGATGACCCCGAAGCCATTCTCTTAGTGAATCAGCCTGGATCTGATGGATTTAAAGTCGACTCAACACCACTCTTTCAGGTAAGCCAAAAACAAACTCATTTGTAATGGCTATGTACCCACATGCAAGTTACGGAACATTTATATGCCTCAGATGTCTCATACGTAAATAGCAGTAATGGTAATATTGCATACAGTTAACGGGAACATTGAACAAGATATGGCATAGAAACTACATAGCCACTTACTGGGCATATGGTGAGTACTCCATAAACCCAGCTTTTATTATTTTTGTTAGCAATAGATCTGGCTTTCATAGCTTTTATCACTTTTATTAATGTATTAATATTATTTTAAGACTATGTGTAATGAAGAGTCTTATTTAACCCAGAATGTAAATCTGTGTCTGACAGTTGAGTAATCTGTTCAAAACATCCTTCCTGCTAACTTTTCACGCACATCTTAATTAGAGTGATCTTGTGCGAACTGCTGAACACAGGAAAGCAATTGTGCACAGCTCCACTCTCAAGGATTTCAGAAACCAAGATACAAACTCCTGACTCAGGGATCAAAGGTGGATGGGGACACAGGCAGCCACCATAACACTGAGCAGACAAATGCCACAAATTTCAAGATGTGCTTACACTGTAAATCTCTGTCAGAGCAAGTGCACCCTTTAGGATATTTACTGAAAATTAACCCAACAGGACGGCCTGGAGAAATGTGTTATTTTCATTCAACTTAAGGAAGGAATCTTAAGAAAGCGTGTTTGTTATTCCGAATCTTTTCAAACAAGAAGTTGAAGTATGATATGTTTTATTTTTATTCTTGCCATTAAATCTCAAAGCATCTGACCTCTCTAAATCCTTCATGCTTCAAAGACTTATCAGGAAATTCATCCTTTTCCAAAGCCCCAGAAAAGCTTGAAAATTGATTTTTTTTTCCCCTATGGTCTTTTATGCAACAAGCAGCAAGACACGGTGAAAGGAGTCCCGAGGTTCAGAAGATTTGAGCTATGGTCCTGCCTCTGCCACTAACTAGTTGAGTAACATTGGGCAACTCAGTTAGCTGCTGTATATTCTTATTTACTCATTTTTTAAAATGAATACGCTAGACTCTATAACCTATTAATAGGTCTTTAGAACTCTCCCATTCTATGACAGCAAGTACCAAATATTCACTCCCTTAAGAGTTGCATGGAATGTATCATACAGTGCTTTGCACAGAGCATTGCACCTAGTACTCGTTCAAAATTATTAAGTAAGTTAATTCTGCAGACTAAAATAAATCATCATTTATTAATATCTCTGCCATTAATTTCTCTTGCAAAGAGTGGTGAATTAGGTTGATATGGTATCTAGTATCTCCTAACAAATAGAGTTGTGCTTTCTAGGTCGCTCTGGGCCGAGAATGGTATATACATACGATCTATACAGTGAGATCAAAAGACAATGCCAATCGAGGTATTGGCAAAAGAAGCGTGGAGTACCATTCTCTGGTGAGTCAAAGAAAGCCCCAAGCCACCACCAACAGCCGGAAGAAGAGAGAGATCAGGAGCACACCCTCACTGGCGTGGGAGATTGGTGCTGAAAACAATCGGGGAACAAACATCCAGCACATTGCCCTGGACCGCACCAAGAAGCAGATCCCCCAGGGGAGAGTACCTCCGGATGGCATCCTCCCCCGGGAGCTCGACAGCCCCAGCTCTGCAGTCAGCCTGGTCACCGTGGTGGGAGGCGCCGTGGTAGGGTTACTCACCATCTGCCTCACTGTCATTGCAGTGCTGATGTGCAGGGGCAAGGAAAGTTTCAGGGGGAAGGAGGCCCCGAAGGGCTCCAGCAGCAGCGAGCCCATGGTGCCCCCACAGAGCCATCACAATGACAGCTCAGAAGTTTGATGACCGCAGGTAGAATTCACCTTTTCCTTAAGTGTGTCGGAAAAGATCACAATGGAACCCTAACTACTTCTGGTAAACCATAGAGGATGGAGGATGTCTGTGATGAAGCTGCTCAGAGAATATGACTGTACTAATGTACTTTGATTTGAATTCTCCATACTCTTTTATGCATCAAAGGACAAATTAAGACATCTTTCCTCTTGCCCCAAAGGCAGCAACAGTGTACTCACATGTACACAGAGCCATGGATAGATGGTGAGGAATGTACTCCTCATTTTAGACATATTCTCTATGCAGTGGAGATAAATGTATTAAAAGGTGCTAACAGACTCTCTTACAAGTATAAGAGGAGTCTACTGTTGCTATTTCAGTGTGAATATTGAAGGTGCAATTATCACATTGTTTATTCATTGTATAACAGATTATTACTAGAAAGGTTTTCCTTGCTAGTCTGGAAAACTGGTGAACACATTGTTTATTATGACAAGTTTTCAAATAGGTGAAGACAGCGTAGCATTGTGACCAGGGGTGGCTCAACCCACACATCAACTGATCCACTACTTGGGAGACAGTGGAAGGAAAGATCGAGGGAAGGAAGTTCACTCACTTGAATTTGAATTGCTTCTCATTCTCATCAGACTCTCCTTGTTTTGTTTGCGTATTTAATTTTAAATTAAACCAAAGAATATGTTAATTCTGGAAGAGATTTTTAAGAGATACTGCTCTGTTTGGGCATATAGTGAGTAATGGCAGAGCTCTTGCATGGTAATATACCTTATTGGTGCTCAACATTTGTGGGAAATTAGAAAGTTGGTGACATTTTGGTGATGAATAAATGCCATAGCATTAGAGTCACTACAAGACAATGTTCTCTAAGAACTGAACCTAGATGTTTGCAGTATTGAACCCATAAATGATCATGAGAAACATTATTACAAATATTGAAGGGAGAAAGTGGTATGGATTAATATAATGTGTATAGTCAGAGTGCCTCTTATACATACTTTATAGAATAAAAGAACATTTTGACAGATGACAGATGAGGTTATCCCTCAGAGTAGCATAATCACACAATAACATTTAGAACTTAAATTGACTATAGGACATTTAATTAACTTTCTCTTCAGCGTCTGGTCCAAATGATGGGACTCTCTGCAACTGTCATTCCAGAAGTGGTCTTGGAGGTGGCCAGAATCATTGATCATATTTTTCTTTGATTCAGGAAGACATGACTCTGGCATCCCCAGTTCAGTGAACTGGTACAATGTGGTCCCTCTGAATGTTTAAACATATCATTTGTACCAGTGCTTACCATTCACCTCACAAAGCCAAGGAACTTGAGTGAGCTTCCTTGGCAAGCCTCTCATTGCCTTTCTGCATCAATGTGTTTGTTACCAAATGGCAGACATTTTGCTTAGAAAAGGAAAACTTCAGCTTTCCAAGAGCTAGTAAACATGTTTCAAAGAAAAGTAAGGTCAGGAAAAAAGAATAATGCCTACAGATTATCCTTCAATTGCTGGTTAGAATCCCCTTTCACTTCTAGCCATAAGCTGGCCACACTGGACATCTTGGTCACTGCAGATTTTTAAAAGGCAAACTTCTCAGATCAGATGTGCACATCTTAATTTGGTGTCTGTAAGTATCAACCATTTCTTGATCAAGATAAGGAAGCAACACTGATACTGAGAGAGAGGTAATGTGTCCAATAGTTGCCTTTCTTTTAGGCAGCTCTGCACTTCATATTCAGTCTTTTAAAAATAGACTGTCGTATCCTTTCATTGGAGAATTTACAAAAATATCACCTACATCTCAAAAGTCCCACTAACGGCTTATCCAAACAGAAAGTTCTGTGTAGCCCAGGAGTTTATTTCGCAAGATAAATAGTGGTAATTTCTTAATCATTCCCCTTTCCTTTGCTTTACCTTCTGGCAGATGCTTAGCTACTTCTTTGGTTACCTCGTAATTTTTATGGGAATGAATGTGAATTAGGGAACTTCAAACAGTGCGTGGACTTTTCACTACTTACCATTGGGTTCAATTGATGTAGACTGTTAGAGCAAGTATACTCAATCGACTTGCTGATATTTTAGTAGTTAGCAGCTTCCGAGCCTGTCGTGCAATTTTGGAGTCTGTCAATGAATATAGCAATCGGTGAAGCGTTACTGTAAGATGTTTGTTTTGAGCCTTTGGGTCAGGCTGGTTTTATACCAAATTTGACTCTACAATGCATATTCTAATGAGGCTACTGTATATAAATTGGAGAGCTTATAAAATACAGAACATTTCTATCCTGTCCTACCAAATATTTATCCTTCTCTGTCCTCTATTCTCTTACTCTCCTCTCTCCCTTTTTCCTTCCCTTTATTCCCTTGAAAAGAGAGAGTCTGTGGGAAATAGGCAGATACAGCTTTTTAAAATGTAAAGTACTTGGGATTTTGCATTATTTTTCTTAATATCTATTTACTAAATATGTAATTTAATATACATTAATTGTTTTTTGAAACTCTTTTTAGTGGGAAGAATATGGTAAATTTTTTGTTAAATAAAATAGACCTTATGTTTAGCGTTTTGTTTTTAAGAACTTTTCTGATACTATCAGAACAAACACATAAAATAACTTCCCCCAGAGAACAGGATATAGCAGTAATAGCTCCTCAGATACTCAGTGGCTTCTGACTCCAATCAAGGTCTTGTTGATACTATATAGTAAAAATAAAACCAAAAATAAATATTATACCAGCGGCTCTCCTAAGCATATGAATCACGAAGCACTGAAATATGTATTTTAATGATGATCTTATTTATTCCTATTTTTGCCCTTAGTTAACATTTACTGATGCTCACCTAGGATTGGCTATTCTGAGAGAATGCATAGAAACCAAGCTCCACTTCCTGTCCTTGGGAAGGCTATAACTGAATGCAGCTCTTTATTTGGACTAACGTGGCAGGATTTGCATTAGATTCTCTCCTGAACCGAAACCACAACAGTCATATCCGTGAACCACAATTTAAAAATCTTTCTAGAATAACAACAGCAGACTCCACTCTTGTTTATCTAAAAGAGCCCTACATGTTATGGGTCATTCTGATGACAGATTTATACAAAATGATTCAAACCAGGAACTTAATAAAATTGACCTTCGCAAAGCCTCACTGGGGGAGTGACTTGGAGAGCTGTGGGTGGCCCTGCATATTCTTTTCCTCTTAGTAAAAGATAGGCCCACTTTATTCCAAGAATAACAGATAGCACATAAACTCTTCTTCCAACTCGTTAGCAGCATTAGCACCTTCTGAAGTCCACCCTCTCAGAAGAATCCACAATGTTTGAACAATATGCATGAAGGTCAACTAGCATCCTGCTGCAAAGTCACTGCATAGCATTTATGATAAGAAGGACCAACGCTAGGCTCAATATGAAGGGATTTAGTTCTGTAAGCAGCAAAAAAGTGTCTTTATCAAGTCATCTTACCTCTAATTCTTTTCCAGTGTACCAACTCCAAAGTCAACATTAAAAATGTAAATGGACCTGTATAAATATCACAGAGAGCTTTTCCTTATACATCTCAATGCTGAGAGTTAAAATATTCACAGGTTAAAAATTATTTAAAGTACCGATAATAGAGCTAAATATAATGACATTTAGATTTTAAAAGTTGGATATTTTATTTCTGCTTTTTGAAAAGACTTATTTAGTATTGACTTGGAATCCAATTCAGTCCTTTAGTAAGTAAAGAAAATAATATGTTTAAAAATGTAAATGTTTTACAAATTTGAAATTTTCATAATTGTATTAATCAGAAAACAAGCACATTGCCATTCTTTGAAACTCATGTTTATAGACATGACAGCAGTAATGAAAGGGTGAAAACAAGTGTCTTCACTAAGCGTATGGCAAATAAATGGGACCCACATGTTCAACCCGTTCAATTGACCAAGGTTCAGAAATATGTAATTTAGCAGGAAACTGTAAATCCCAGTGCTATCCTAGCCACACATGCATACACACAGATATAAAATAACCAAACCTCTCATTTCTAGGAAAGAGATAACACTAAAGGCATAATTTTAACTGAAATAGTTTCTATGAAGTTTTACAAAAAGATCAGCAGAAAGCTCATTTGTGAAAACATAGGAGCTTCTTTAACATTAGTTCCGAGGTTAATATATTTCCCGGAGGTATTTTCCTAGAATTGATTGCAGTATTGCATGGTAATAACATTTAATTTTTAAGGAAACATTATATATAGGTTCAAATTATCCCTTAATGTCGATTTCTCCCCTTTTCCATATATTTTGATACTAAGAAACAAAACGCTTTGAGATTTTGGTAACTATTTTGATTTTGATAAAACATTTTAAAATAGAAGGACATGGTATTTTTCTGTAGTTTCCACCAGGAAGAGTACATCAAAAACTTTGTAAGGAAAGAAAACTGACTCTCTCTTGAACTAATGCTGATAAAATATACTAATGTCACTCTTTATTTTATTAGGAGAAAAATCAGAACATTAAATTTGCAAACTTTTAAACAGCAGTAATAGTTCCTTAGATGTTCAGCATCTTTCTTCCCTATCTTTCAAGCACATTTAATTTCTTGCACATTTAATTTCTTTCCCCTGGTATTTGTTTGCTTTGTGTTTTTTCAATATTTTGTTTTTCTAAAGACCAATTGACAACAGCAAAGCTGGTCCAGCCAGGACACCTACTTTTGCTTTTCTTTCTTTCTTTCTTTCTCTTTCTCTCTCTTTCTTTCTTCTTTTAATTTGTTGAACTATAGGTTTCTTTCTCTGAGATGTATTTTTCATTCTTCCAATAATGCTCCCTTTTTCATTTCAAAACCATTACCACTTTCAACATGT